TCCTGCAAGAAGGAATTTATTTTTCTTAGACCTCTTTTTTTTTTTTCATGAATCTTAATTTTTCACTTGACCAAAATATTCTGGACATCTCTCCGTCCACAATTTTGTGAAAACGTGGGCAGACTGGCAGAATTTGAGGCATCGAAACTCTTATGGGCATTCTGAAATACAGTATATGCCATCAAGTTACACGACGAGATAATTCGTCATGACATTGAGATAGCATTCGGGTCTGCGGCTGACTTCATAATCTGGTGGGATGGAAAGAAGCCAGTGCTATAAAGAAAATGTTTTTGTTGGGGTTTTTTATGTTTATTGTAAGGTTTTTGTGGGGTGGGACAAATAACTGGCGTCCTGCAATGAGGAATTTATTTATCTTCGACCTCTTTTTTTTTTTTTCATGAATCTTAATTTTTCACTTGACCAAAATATTCTGGACATCTCTCCGTCCACAATTTTGTGAAAACGTGGGCAGACTGGCAGAATTTGAGGCATCGAAACTCTTAATGGGCATTCTGAAATACCGTATATGCCATCAAGTTACGCGACGAGATAATTCGTGATGACGTTGAGATAGCATTCGGGTCTGCGGCTGACAGTAAGTATCTCAATGCACAAAGCGAGTTCCGTAAAGACCAAACTCATCCATAAAGCTTGGATGAGTTTGGTGTGCAAGAAGCTGAAAGTCTTCATCTTAACATCACCAACTTGCGAACGTGTGCTTGCTATGACTTGCTCTTGCGATCGCAGCACTTCTCTCCATCTATTGTATGCATGAACAGTGGTGGACTTTACCACGGGCTTTGAAGGTGGGGGCTGAACCTGGCTTTCTCCCCTGCACCTTTTGGCCCCGCTATAGGGGGGGCAGGGGGGGGGGATTGAAATCAATACTGCCTATGATGAGACGACCGGACTGGGACGGACGGCACAGAGGAGAGACGGGAGGGAGTGTATTGGATGGGTTTGATGGATAGCTGATCTAAAAAAAAGGGAGGGGTGATCAGTTACCCTGACGGATTGCTTTTTGGAGATTTAAGAAATGAGATACGCGGACGTATGTACCACGCGGAGCGACGGAGGGAGAAATTGGGGATGAGAGGAGCACTCCACAGTTTGCATAACATGCTGCAAGGGTGGAATCTGGTGACAAGTGGCAAACTGGTCCCCCCCTCCCTCACCAGTCCTTTTATTTTTCCAAAGTATTTAATCCCCCCCGCCCCTGCCCCGTCCCTATTTCAGCCCCCCTCAAACGCCCCCCCCTCCCCTCTCCATTATTCTCTATGCATTTTAATTTTTTTTTCTCTTGTCACCGGGGGCCCAGATTCCCCGCCCACTCCCCCCTCATTTTAGCCTGAAACTAGAATAGTGAAGCCAAGAAATAGTTAATCTCTCCGGCTGCCGCGATGATTGGCCGCTGCACGCAGCGCCTCAGCCTCCTTGAATGAGAAACAGGGGTAACCAGGCAACTTCAAGAGCTGCAAAGAGAGAGAGAGGGAGAGAGAGAGAGCGAGGGAGGGAGAGGGAGCGGTAGGAAAGAACAACATCGAGCTTTACGGACATTTCGATTCGGGCAGTAAATTAGTTTTAAAAGAGCACGCTAATGTGATTCCACCTTGTGTGCCCGGTAAATGGAATTAACAAATGGATTTTCTTCTGCACGCTCTCTGCATGCTCTTCACTTGGCGCGCTCACGCGAAAGGGACGCAGATATGGATTAAAACGCATACATGGGACACTCCGCTGGGAAAAAGGTGAGTGACTTCCCACTTGCGAGTCTCGTTTTTTGAAGTTACTGTCACAGTGCTTAGGGATGCGTGACAGCTCTGCGCCGTGTCAAGATTTATGGACAGGACGTGTGTTGGCCGCTGAATGAAAATGTGCTGCGGACCGGTCCTGCGTTTGCATCATTTCGGGGTCGAAATGAAAATAGGAAATTAAACCTAAATAGATTGTGGGAAAAAAAATGATCTCATTGTTGGTTACCACGAATGTTCAGGTTGTTAAGTTGAATGTTGTCCTTCAAAAGACGTATGCCGTTGTCCCACATTGCGTTGTCTCACGTACAGTCGACTCATACCACAGGTCGTTTTATTTAGACTTACGTTTCCACGTGAAATAAATACATCGTGTCGATACGATACGAACGATTAAAACATTGACAAACTCACATCCCCCCCCCCCCCCTGTCGTAACATTGAAATGTGGAGATGCGCTCCAGATCCAAGTCGTGCACAAATATTGCACAGTCACCGCTTCGTGGATCTTACCCAATGTTCAGAATCAAAACTTGATGTGTTGGGAAATGGACACACACACACACACACACACACACACACACGCACGCACGCACGCACGCACAGCGATGAGAGGACCTGCGGGCGCGTGAATGGTTGAATGGGTACGCGCAGCGGTGGTGTTGCTTCTTTCTCCAGTGCGCAGAGCGAAGTCTGCGCCGAGCTGCGCAGCTGTCTGCCCCCCCGTACGTACTTCTGTGCGGAGCTGTCCGGGTCACGGGTCGTGAGCGGGATAGACGCCATCGTGTTGCGGAGGCGCGGGGGCGTGTAAATCAGGTCACGGTGTCAGCTGGCGCTCACATTTGGACACAGAGCATTTGCTCGCGATCCAGATTGATGTCCTGAACTGTACGCCCCACCCCAATCACTTGCGCGACTAAATTTAGCTTCTTAAATCCGCGATGATTAGGTTGGTCGCGTTAAATAGCCAGAAACGTGGTGTTTAGAAATATAAAGTTAGCCAAGACCAAGGTCTTCCTCTGGTGGCTTAAAGCAGGCGTGTCAAAGTCATTTTTAGTGGCGGGCCACATTGTCGTGACCGTTTCCCTTCGAGGGCCGTTATGACTATAAAAACATGTCATAAAGTCAAGAATAATGGTTCATTCAACGATTGTTTAAGTTAGTGGAATGAGGGGCTTTGGTGACAAAAAAATGCTTACCATATCTCGCTTATTTATTACATATGAGAAGTTGAAATGTTGCTACATATTTTAGCAATCATCGTAGAAGTCGACGTTTGATTTGCTTTCGCGGGCCACAGAAAATGATGTGGCGGGACAGATCCGGCCCCCCGGGCCTTGAGTTTGACACCCATGACTGAACCTCGACAATATTTACAACTTAATATTTGTTCTGTGAAATTTTCTGATACAATGAAATATATTCTTGATTTTGTAGCCTTTCTCTTTGCTGATTTTAGCCATTCTGCTGCCACGTCATGTCGAATCTGCCCGGGGTGTTCCGAATCAATACTTCTGCTTGAAATATTTTAGCAATCAGACCTGATTGCTCAACCAATCAGGTTTCAAAATTGCCTCTGAGACATCTGCCGATGTCAATTCCTTTTCCTTCCTTTGTGTTTTTGTCGAGTTTCTATCACTGTGACACGGTCGTGCCGTTGAGAGGTGGGCGAAAGCCCAGAGAAGTCACCAAAGACCCCCGTAACCACGGATGGGAACAATTCATACCAAGTACAAATCAAAAAAGAATAACACTCCTGCTCAAGATGTACTCAAGTAGACGAACCCGATTGATGTTGGCGTTCTCGCGGTTGTTATTCTCGTCTGGTGTTGAACTTTGCCCCCCCCGGGCTAAAACTCAATGAGTGGCAGAATGACCAGTTGAAATGCACAATTCATTACTGGACGCAGATGTCTCAGCACAACATTGTTTGTGCGCCGGAGCTTCTGGTAAGAAAATGGAACGTGGCCTGGATATTTACTTGTGAACATACGGGAAGAAAATAGATGGGAGCTATAAAACGGAGCGGTAGTGGAAAATTTGTGGTCTCACGTGGTGTTGTTGTGGCTTGGCGAGATATAACACAAGACAAGACAGGGTGCCAGAGATGAATATTAAGACGGCACCCCCCCCCCCCCCAAAAAAAAAAAAACCTGGCACCAAGTAATCTCTTTCTCGACGATGTTTTGCAGCAGATCTTCAGCCAAACTCCCCGACTCGATTGCAGGACAATCGGGCGACTTGTACAATCCCGCCATCAGGCCACAAACACGCTTGCATATTTTTCTGTTGCGGTCCACGGCCCGTTCTTTGCTGCACATTGTGATTTGTGAAGCTGAAGACAGATCTGCACAAAACACGGGAGAAATTCACTTTCCCAGTAAGGAAGGTCTTTTGTCTGGTCTCCCGGTGGAAACACGACTCTTAATTTAGCCGCTGACAGCAAAAGCTGAGTGGTTTGGGGAGCTGTAGCTCACCCGACTAAGACCATAATGGCTTTTCCACTTAGACAAGAGAATTATAGACAACATCGGGAAAGAGGTTTTAACGTTTTTCTTTTCATCGCACACACTTTTGGGCCGCGTGGCCGTTACACCGAAGGTGTAACGTGCGCTCAATATAGAGCGCCGCTTACACTCTTTCTTAAAAAAGCTGTCGGAGTTTTTGTGCATTCCCTTCAGCTGAAGTGAGGTCCTTGGAGCTAACTGGCTAACAAGGTTACACCCACGTGGATATATTTGACACACGCTTTTCAACATGTCCTAAATCTTTTACAAAAGGAGCTTGAAAGAACCTTGCAAGATTGTTCTCATTTTTTGCCGGTGGCCTTATCATGTCTATTTCATTCATGAATGAAGATGGGGGGAGGGGA